TATTACAAAACCGTCAAGATACCAGACTACCTCTTCAGATGAAGATATTCCCAGGAAAGTAGGAAAGAGTGTTACAAGAGTGTTACAACAAGATAAGAGTGTTACCAAGACACTGGAATCGGACATGAGAGATTTAAGAGTCATTTTACAGGAAAATTTCTCACATGATTACAATAAAAACTCACAAACGCCTTTGTTACATACATTAGATAACGTACAGCCATATACACAAACTCAGGCACAATATCAACCACATACACCTACTCAAGTACCATGTCCGACAATATCCACTCACAATCAGATACAATGTCCATTACAAACATCTACTCAGACACCATATCAACCAGGACAAATGTCTCATCAATTTCCATCTTCACAAACATCTATTAATTCTCAATCATACTCTACATTACCTCAGTCAATCACACCAGTGTCACAAATTATACCTGTCACAATATGTAACTCACCTATTATGTCGACTCAGAATCAAAATGTTACAGACAATATTATTAATACATGCAATAAGTTTCAGGATAATTTTTCTAACATAGGCAGAGCGATACAGACGACAACGAATTATAGTGCACAACGAACAGAAAGCGAAGAGGAGAATCGGTGAGTATATAAAATTATAAAAATAATAACAATAGACATAAATATAACAAGAAATAACAAATAATAACAATGATTAAAACTATTAACAATAAATAAAACTTTTATCAAAATAATGTTATTAATTTAGTGTTAACTGTATGTTTAAAAATATATTCATTTGTTATTTATACCAGTACAATTTTTATAGCAAAATCCAGGAACGATTGAGCTATATAGAAACAGAGTTAAGGTAAGTAATGTATATATGAGATGACCAAAATAGTTTCAACATCTTGTTTTATCATAATGGAATACACTTGCTTTCGTGTGTCTCTGCTAGCTGGTGAGAGTCAATCAGGATGCAGTATGATAGGTCGGTGACTTAAAGCTAAATCCTGATGGGTTCTCACTAGCCAGCAGAGGCTCACGCAAGCAATCAAGTGGGCAAAGAAACGTTGTGTGCTGTTCGCTTTAAAGTACAAGAAAGAATTTAAGTGAATCATAACAGCAAA